TATATATATATATATATAAATATCAATTAATAATTATAAACGAATTACAAAACTTGATTTTTCCAAAGGGTAACTTACTGTTGCATGAATTATTACGGTACAAAAATGTCATCAATCAAGCAATATGATTAGATTTTATGTCTAAAGTTTATGTCTTATGTCTTAAGTTTAAATCTACCCAAGAGATGCCATTCAGCCTGATGTTTTCTGTTATTATTCTGCCTTCAAAACTGATGCTCAAGCTGAAAACTAACAACACTGTTTTCCACAGCCCGGTTGTGTGGCTAATAGAGACTCTCTGTCTGGCAAATGGAATAAAGGAGAGTGACTCTGTATGAACAGCTAAAAAGAAAATGGCAAAATAGCAGCATGGCTAGTTGGTTCTATGTAAAATGGGGGGTTTATCTATTCAACACATTGAGTAGAGGATGTTTTCTTAACTCTTTGTCATCAGGGTATCTCTTATAAAAGCACAGCGAGACCGAGAGGAAGAGTGCTGGACAAATGTGGAAGCCCGAACCGGCCCTGTCAGCTCTCTGTGGAGATATCTGAGGAAATGAAACCGAAATCAAACCTCAAATCGGACTCGGGAATGTCTAGGGCATTTGAGAATGCCTCAGAATAAACAAGAGAATAGAAATAGAGAAGAGAAAGTAACAGACAGCTTCAAATAGCACACGGACTTCACCCCTGTCAGAAAGGAAGAGGTTGGCTGACAGTGAAGGGGAAACCATGGGCCTCATTTGATGCGGTTCAGGATACAAGTCCTTCACTGTGGATTCCTGCATGTGCTCAGAGATTCATTCTGTCTAAGTATGAATAGACCACAACATTCGTGCCTCATTCACAATAGCCTTCAGTGTTGCCTCTGGTTAAACCGGTGACCTTTCCCCTCTTTTGGGTTGAGGGGAGAAAGCCAAGGGCCCATTGCCAGCTTGGCCTCTAAAACAGGGTTACATGCCTTTGGGAAAGAGGTTAGCTGGGTGACAGTGTTTATGGAAATTAGTGAGAGGATATGAGGAGGAAGAAAAGGATCAGAAAGAACAAAGAGAAGACTGAAAGTGAATGTCACTTCTCTCAAGGCAAAGCTGAAATATCAAGCCATTAACATGGCCTTTAAACTACCAATCAGGAAGAGGATAATCACCTGTTACTGCCCTCAGACTGGACAGCAGCCACTCAGCTCAGACACAATGAGTATCCCCTTTCTGTTTTACAACTTCTATTTTTTCCCCAATGAATCTAGCCAGGACAGTGTCTGGAAAGAGCTGTGTAAATATGAAATAAACAAATTAATTAATTAATAAATTAGTAAATACAAAAATAATCTAATAAAAACTGCATATAGGTTTGGAAGGATATGAGATTGAGTAGAAGAATGCCGAGTTTTCAAAATCATCTGTATTACTAAACCAACCCTCTACATTGCGAGTAAATCACACGCATATGCGACTAAATCGTCTGGCGAAACAAAAAAAATTTACTAGCCAATGGCGATTCAATTGCTAAGGTGTCCGTAGAAAGTTGTAAACGAACCAGTTCAACCTGTGTAGACCTACAGAGCCCCAAAACAAGCATGTTTTTCCCGCACTTGCACATGGAATGCAAAACACCTCCTAGAAAATTCCCACTGTTATCCATACCATTCCTCTTCCCATTAAGCGAATCTCCCCCCAGCCAGCAGCTACTCCAATGTCCCCATTTCCTTTCCATGATACTCCCAAGAATGGCACAAGACCAGCTACACTAAATACATAAAGAGGTGACCTACTTGGCCCACTTGACACTTCCTCAGGCCCCATTAGCCTCAGACTAAAGCCTCCTTTGACAGTCATCACCCATGCTAGGGATTTATAGCAACATCCTTTGATGCATCACACTGACATATTCCAAATAGGGAGACCTGTTTTTGCACTCAACTCATTGTGAGATCTGACTCTCACTGCATGGGCATTATCTTGCCTTTGTTGGCAGCTATCTTAAGTTTGTGCTAATTAAAGGGGCAGAGATATGGTAATAAAGTAAAGAAACTTAAAAAGTGGAAATTTAATAATAGATGAAGCACTCAATATTCATAAAGCACACTCTGAAAGAACACTAGCACTGAAAAGGCATGAATCAGGATTACTAAACAAACACAGCTGAGTCACAGTGCTGATTTAAGTGGGACGATACAGCCAGGTTTTGTGCTGCGCTCAGCCCTGTATTAACCAGCTTTAGCTTGAGTATGGTTTAAACACAGCACAGGGTGTGGAGCTGGATACTGGATTAGACGAGATGGATAAAACAGAGCAAAGAAAACATATAAAGGAACAGTTCACCTAAAAATTATAATTCTGTCATTGGTCAGAAAATGTTTCAAACCCATATGCTATTCTTTCTTCAGTGAAACACATAAGTAGAAATATTTGAAGAATTTTACACAGCTTTGTCCATATAACAGTAAGGGGAAAAAATAAAAAATAAAATAATTAATGATCTACAGTACAATAACAAACAAATATAAAGATCACTATGTACAGTAGTGGTCACTATGTAGGGCACACCATGTTTGCTCATACTTCATATGTCTACACATCTTTTGTTAAAAAAAACTGGATATAGATTTGGAATGACATGAGACTGAGTAGATGTGAATAAGCTGTTTTGGGATGTTTTGCAGTAAAGGCAATGCTAATTCTTAGCAGTAGCAGTGATTTGGTGTAGTGATTCTGGACAGTGGTGTGCAGTGGAATTCTGTATTGTTCATTCCAGAACTCCAAGAGAAAATCCATTGAAACAATTCAACACAATAGCGCACCTAATGTTCTCCAAACCTTGAGAATGACTGGATCCTGTCTGAGGCAATCACCACGGCTGAGCATGACTTTCAGAATGTTTTTCGCCAGTGTGTGAGTTGGAGGCTAAGTATAAGTTTAGCTCAGATATATTTTCATTCGCCGAACACTCTGACTGAGTGCTTTAGAGTTTCACTCTCCGTCAAGCGATCTGAGATATTTTTCATTTCATCTCAATAGATGCGCAGCGCACCTGAGTTTGTGTATTTGACATACCATAAACTCTAGCTGTGAAGGTGCACGACTCGCCGTCGCTTTCTCTCACACCGCAAAGTGAGAGAGAGAGAGAGAGAGAGAGCGCGAGCGAGAAAGTTTTACATAACATGCAGAATTGATGCGCTACATGTAAATGATATTCTTTGTACTATTTTCCTGTCCTTTGGAATTCTTCAGCTTTTAGAAACTGCCGGGTTCTCCGGTATGCTTGACTGCCTGATGTTAAGAGTGTACTTTCAGATATTTAAAAAGCTGTGCCATTTTACAAACACACACACATACACACACACATATATAT